ATAGCAGAGTGTGACAGTACCCCCCCCTAAAGGTGCGAACTCCGGGCGCACCAGCATACAGTCTAGGGGAGGGTCTGGGTGGGCGTCTGTCCACGGTGGCGGTTCTGCCCCTGGTCGTGGTCCCCATCCCACCTTAGTCACCACCCGCTTCCCTAGCCTCCTCCACATTACCACCCCCCAACTACACCCCACTGGGTTAAGGGGCGGCACCGGACTAAGGGGCAGCACCGGACTACGGGGAAGTACCGGACTACGGGGAAGTACCGGACTAAGGGGCAGTACCAGGCTGAATGGCGGATACTGGCTGGACGGCTCTGGTGGCTCCTGGCTGGTCGGCTCTGGCGGATCCTGGCTGGACGGCTCTGGCGGATCCCGGCTGGACGGCTCTGGCGGATCCCGGCTGGACAGCTCTGGCGGATCCCGGCTGGACGGCTCTGGCGGATCCCGGCTGGACGGCTCTGGCGGATCCTGGCTGGACGGCTCTGGCGGATCCTGGCTGGACGGCTCATGGCTGGCTGATGGATCTGGCTGCTCATGGCTGGCTGACGGATCTGGCTGCTCATGGCTGGCTGACGGATCTGGCTGCTCATGGCTGGCTGACGGATCTGGCTGCTCATGGCTGGCTGACGGATCTGGCTGCTCATGGCTGGCTGACGGATCTGGCTGCTCATGGCCGGCTGACGGATCTGGCTGCTCATGGCTGGACGGCTCTGGCGGATCCTGGCTGGCGGAAGGCTCTGGCTGATCCTGTCTGGCAGAAGGCTCTGGCTGATCCTGTCTGGCAGAAGGCTCTGGCTGATCCTGTCTGGCGGAAGGCTCTGGCTGATCCCGTCTGGCGGAAGGCTCTGGCTGATCCCGTCTGGCGGAAGGCTCTGGCTGATCCTGTCTGGCGGACGGCTCTGGCTGGACAGGGCTGACGACGCACCCCGTAGGCTCGGGGCGTTGAGCAGGGACAGGCAGAACCGCACTGGGGACACACACCCCTGGCCCTACACGGGGATCAGGAACGGGCCGGACCGGACTGGAAACACCCCCCAGTACCTCTCGCCGTGCCTCCACACTTTCCATCCCCTTCGTAACCAGTGGCCCCCTTAAACTGGCGGCCATATCTGCCAACCTCTTGCACTCCTCCGGGCCGTACACCTTCTGCCCCGACGTCGTGAGCCCCCCCCTAAAAATTTTCTGGGGGTCTCTCCTCTCGGTGGACCAGGCCTCCATAGTCCTCTCCCAACCTTCGCTCTTCTGGCTCCACCACCCGTTATCCAACTGCTGCTTGGTCTCGTTGTGGTGGGTTTTTCTGTCACGATCGCCAATAAAGTAGGACCAAAGCGCAGCGTTGGGAGTGAACATGATGACTTTAATGTTGAAATAACGACAAAACAAAACACGATCCGTAACGTCCTCAGTACACCGACTGAACATAGAACAAAAACCCACAACTAACACAAGAAAACCTACATCTTAAATATGGCTCCCAATCAGAGATAACGAGCCGACAGCTGACACTCGTTACCTCCGATTGGGAGTCATTGAATACAAACAAGGAAACACAACCACAACCTAGAAATAGACACAACAGAACTCCCCACCTAGAAATAAACGTGACAGACATGCAACCATAAAACATCACCCAAACCCCAACAAAACAACATACACCCTGGCTCAAATACACAAGTCCTGGAGCCAGAGTGTGACAAATATCCTCGATTTGGATGAAGACTTGTACTTCAATGAGTCTTCTGTGCAAGAGCCCTAATCCATTGACACTGGGAAGAGAAAAAGACAGTGCTATAGAGGCCGCCGTGCAGGCACTTTGATAAAACTATGTCGGCAAGTGGATAGACGGCCTCCACCCTCCATTGCATTGGCGAACGTACAATCTCTGGAGAATAAGTTGGACAAGCTCTGTTCGACACTCCTCTCAACGGGACATTAAGAACAGTAATATACTATCCATCTCGGAATCATGGCTGAACAAGGACAAGGACAATATACAGTTAGCTGCGTTGTCTGTGCATCGGCAGGACAGATCGGCAGCGTCCGGTAAGCTCAGCAGTGGTGCGCAATCTCTAATTTTAAGGAAGTCTTGAGGTTCTGCTCGCCTGTTAGAATACCTCATAATAAGCTGTAGACCATACCATTTACTAAGAGAGTTTTCATCTATATTTATCATAGCTGACTGTTTACCACCACAAACTGATGCTGGCACTAAGATCGCCCTCAACGAGCTGTACAGGGCCAGAGGCGCCACTCCTGGTGGCTTGTGATTTTATTGCAGGAAAATTGAAATCTGTTTCAGGTTTTATATCTGTGACTGGTGAGGACGAGGAGATTGAGAAAGAGAAAAAATCATATTTGCATAATTTTTCAGTATGTACTGCTCATGTTTAATATGATTATCAACACTACACTTTTGCACAGCTCTGATTTAAACAGTAATACTCACTAGTTAGAACAGACAGATGAACAGGAGCATCACCTCCATGTTGTGGTCCACCCTTTGTAAGGAACTGTAGACAGATGTAGAATCCAGCATCCTCAGCTCTGACATCACTAACATGTAGAGAACAGTCAGACCCTAAACTCAGTCTGTCTGCTCTGTTGTTCTGTTTTTCCTTTATCACCCTCCCCAGGACAACTTCTTCAATAGCAACATTAGGTCCATCTCTGTTATAGTTCCATGTAGTTGAGGAACAGTTTGGATAAACCACATTGGTACACGGCAGACTGACATTACCACCAACAATGGAGTACAGAGGAAGAGTGTTTCCACTGACACCTGACAAGAGAATGGCATCAGATGATTATTCACTGGTAATACAGATTACATTATATTTCACAGAGTCACTTGAAATTCATCACAGGTGTACTTCTCTGAAGAATAGAGTAATATACTATTATACAATAGTGAAGATAAAGGTAGACAGAAACACAACAGAAATGTTAACATAACTTCCACATGTCTATTTTTCCTCAGATTGATGGTTTTCCGTGTTGAATGTGAGTGATGATCTCTTAATAAATAGTATTGTTATTCTCTCTCTCCTCTGTCTTACCTGTTAGCAGGTACAAAACTGTCACAAGCAGTCCCAAAAATGAATGATAGACATCAGCCATTGTCCTCTCTCTCTTTCTCTCCTCTGTCAGAGTGTCTCAGCTCTACACGTTTCTCACCATACAGCAGTATCTCTATTCACCATTATTGCATCACTTCCTCAAAGTGGTCATGATTTTTTCTCGGCGTCAGGGACAGGGAAATGTTCAACTGCAGTTTGACTGTTTGTGAGTACCAGAACAAATTCTAATCAAGTAAAGACTAGTTTGCTTGTTTTGACAGCATAGTCTAGCTAACTAGATGATTCAGCTAGCCAACAATAGTGCTGATCAGATGATATAGCCCACCCCAGCACAGTGGTTCTAGCAAATATACTTAGAAAGAAACTAGGGAACTCCATTTCATCTGTGGTTCGAGCTTTCTAGCCTTCAATGTGTGATGAGTGAGTGAACTATTGCAGAAAATAGAGAAGTTGGCTACAGGAGCAGTAGAGAAGTAAGAATAGTACGTTTTTTTCCCCGTTCCTCTAATTCTGTGTACATCCTGCTTTTATCTAAATAGTTTACAGGATGGAAATAAGTGACGTAGTCAACATGTCAACATGACATATCAGTGGAATCAAGTCTCTTGTCTCTCATGACCATCTTAAAACAATTCCATATGTTAGCTTAGTACAAACCCCCCACCGAAAGAAAGGCTTAGACTTTTAGGGGATCATTGTTGACCAAGATGAAAAACGTTAAGCCCCCTGGCAGATTACATGTTTGTTACCTGTTTGTGTAAGACATCACATTTTCTGTATGTTTCTGCATATGTACCAATATCCTCAAATAAACCTAAACCTATTGAGTGCTAAACAGGACATCAAATCATGTTCCTGTAATAGCAGGGCTTATTGCAGATACCAGCTTACTGAAGCAGCACATTTAACTGTGTTTGTAGCTAAAGGGTCTGAAAAAGGAAATATATGAGAATGGTTACAGTGAGGAAAAAAAGTATTTGATCCCCTGCTGATTTTGTACGTTTGCCCACTGACAAAGACATGATCAGTCTATAATTTTAATGGTAGGTTTATTTGAACAGTGAGTGACAGAATAACAACAAAAAAATCCAGAAAAACGTATGTCAAAAATGTTATAAATTGATTTGCATTTTAATAAGGGAAATAAGTATTTGACCCCTCTGCAAAACATGACTTAGTACTTGGTGGCAAAACCCTTGTTGGCAATCACAGAGGTCAGACGTTTCTTGTAGTTGGCCACCAGGTTTGCACACAACTCAGGAGGGATTTTGTTCCACTCCTCTTTGCAGATCTTCTCCAAGTCATTTAGGTTTCAAGGCTGACGTTTGGCAACTCAAACCTTCAGCTCCCTCCACAGATTTTCTATGGGATTAAGGTCTGGAGACTGGCTAGGCCACTCTAGGACCTTAATGTGCTTCTTCTTGAGCCACTCCTTTGTTGCCTTGGCCGTGTGTTTTGAGTCGTTGTCATGCTGTTATACCC